CTCTACTCATCATCGCTTTGCTGCTTTCACCAACTTCTTCTCCCATTGCAAACTAACTCCAATTGTAAAAAAAAAATTCGAACTTGATAGAATTGAGAAATTACCCAACTAAATCCTAGATAGGGTTTCAACACGATCTCCTAACCACACGAGGCAAGCAAGATCTCTAATGGCAACTTCGCAACGCTATCTCCACTGAAGCCTAGATCTCCAAGACCCAAGCTTCAAATAATGAATCTTCCTCCATCCAATGCAAAACCCTAGATCTGAAAATCTGAGCTCTGATACCACTTATCGCGCATCGTGCAAAAGCGTGCTTGCAAACCAAATGAGATGGCGAGTAATGAGAGAAGAACCAAACAAACACGAGTGCAATCCACCAAATCAACAGCCAAAATCACACAAACACGGAGATTTACGTGGTTCAGTGATGTTTTACAACCACCATTATCGGTACTAATTGCTTATTGAGTGATATTATAGTTAATATATATATATCAAGCTTGTTAGTACCACTTATGGGGGATGATGTTGTAGTATATATATATATCAAGCTTGTTAGTACCACTTATGGGGGATTGGATAGAATATGAGCTACAACGATGATATCCAAAGGAGGAGGAGGCATAGTGATGAAGCAATGTTTATTCAAGAATAATAAATGCAATGAGAAGCATCATCAACTCGAGCTATATCAAGACTCAAAGAATTGTAATTCTATGTGAGGATATTAGCTAGTTTTTCTTTTCTCTTTAGTGCTAGAATGTAGGCAAGTAGTTATAGATTTCATTTGAAGCTATTGGGATATCACATACACGTTTTCATACTTATATTTTTTGAGTGTTTTGACAAAATATCATTTTTCATAAGTATGAGGACCTGTTCTTAAAATTCCCTTTCTAAACAATTTGTTTTTAATGTTAAAAATAATTTACAAAGTTACACAATTTTTAAAAGTCATTTAAATATTTTTACAGATTTTTAAAGAGTCAAAAACAGTTTTTAAAACAGTGTCAGCATGTATCAGTTCGCGGTCGATCATCACGGTCGACCGCGCCTGTGTTCTTTTTCTGAGTGGGCAGTAGAAACTTTCGAGGTCGATCGCCACGGTCGACCGTCAGCTCGAAAATTCCCACAGTCGATCGCCACGATCGACCGCAAAAGTTTTTGGAAATTTCTGAGTTTCCAAAGTGGCTCGCGGTCTCGCGGTCGACCGCGAGATTTTCACGGTCGACCACCACTCACCTCAACGGTCCTTTTTGGTACAAATTTCAGGTGCCGTTTATCCAGGTTTTGGGGGATTTGGGTATGGGTTTAAGCTGCTGTGTTTTCTCCTATTTAAACCCCTTATACCCCTTCTTCTTCGGTTGTCCCAAGCCATTGAAAAACCAGAGATTTTCTTTTACTGAGAGCCAAAAATTCCAAACCTGTTTTTCTGTGTTTTCCTGTGTTCACATCCCAGCTTCAGTGTAATCTTTCTCCTTATAATAGGGACATTGTAAAGAGAGAGTTTTTACACCATTACTACTGTTAAGAGCTTGATCTTGTGGAGATCAACTGTGTGGGAGTTAGATCTTGTGGTGATCAACTGTGTAGTTGTGAGATCTTGTGGAGATCGTTGTGTAGAAGAAGTTCCGGCTTCCAAACCGGGTTGTGTAGTGGATTCTCCTCGAGAGTGGGGAGCGGGGACGTAGGTCAGCGGGCCGAACCTCGTTAACACATCGCACGTCATTTGGATAACGATTTCTAACTCTATCTCATTTATCTTAGTTGTTCATTGTTGTGGTGTGTTGCTTGTCTTATTTTTATTTCACAATTATAGCCTTAAGACCCTAATCACCCCCCTCTAGGATCTAACACTCTCCACCTTAATGAGAGATGAGAACCTTCAAGATCAAAGTCTCATCAAAAGTGACATCTCTACTCAACACAATCTTCTTATTAACTGGATCCCAAAGCTTGTATCCTTTAACACCACGTTTGAATCCCACAAATATGGTCTTTCTAGCTCAAGGTTCTAATTTATCAGTCTTCATATGATAAAATACAGGACACCCAAATACCTTGAGCTGATCATAATCACGTGCTGGGTCTCCCGAACACATCTCCATAAGGGTTTTTCCCTCAATCGCATATGAAGGCAGCCTATTAATGAGGTGACTCTCACATGAAAGTGCATTAGCTCAAAAGATCTTCGCCAAACCACTCTACGATAACAAATATCAGACCTTCTCCAATAAAGACCGATTTAACCACTCTACCACCCCATTCTGCTATGGTGTATGACTAACTATGAAGTACCTCTCTATGCCCTCGTCTCGACATAGCTTCTAAAAGGGTCTGAACTGTACTCACCGCCGTTATCGGATCTCAACGTCTTGATCTTTTTCCAAGTCTGCAGTTCTAATCTCCTCTTCCACTCTACAAATAACTTTAGGATTTTATTCTTATGCTTCATGGTGTACACCCAACAACGCCTAAAATAGTCATCCACAAACGTGACGAACCAATATCGACCACCAAGTGATGTCATCTTGGTGGGACCCTAAACATCCATGGGCACGTAGTTTAAGATGCTCGTTGGCTTGTGTATGGCTGTCCCGAACTTCACCTTTGTCTTCTTACCAAGAACGCAGTGCTCACAGATTCTATCTTTCCACTCTTGCCTCCCTTCAATAGCCCCTACTTGCACAAAACTTGCAGTTACTTTTTACCTGTGTACCCTAATCTGTAGTTCCAAAATCTGCTCTCGTCCGCCTCTAAAACAGCTGAAGCTACCTTGCCAATCCCACTGCACCCCTTCAGATAATAAAGATTCCTACTGTGGACTCCCTTCACCACTACCAAAGATCCCTTAGTAACTCTTGCTACAGCGTTCTCAAAAGTCACATTGAATCCCTTTGCCTCCAATGCACTAATGAAAATAAGATTATTCTTTAACTGAGGAACAAATCTCACTTCATTCAGCTCTCGAACAACACTATCATACATCCAAATACTGATGGTACCTATCCCACAAATGCTACAGAATTGATCATTTCCCATTACTACCATGCCCCCATCAAGCTTCTCGAAAGATGCAAACTAATATCTCCGGGGAGTCACATGATAAGTAGCACCAGAATCCAGCATCCACTCCGATGCATCCGCATGGTTAATCTCTGGGGTAACCAATAGAGAAAAGCATGAATCGTCGGAATCGTTACCACTCTTAGTAACATTCATCTCATTGGCCTTCGGGCCCTTCTTCTTGCTATTCGCCTTCTCTCTAAGCTTCGGGCAATCTCTCTTCCAATGTCCTTGTTCTTTGCAGAAAACACACTGGTTCTTCGCTAATTCGTAGTGGCCCATTGACTTTGACCTGCTTCAATTACCACCTCTCGGATAGGGACTCCTTCCTCTCGTCGACAAGGTCTCTCCTGAAGTGCTAGCTCTGGAAGTCTCTTTGTCCTTTCTCCTCAGATCGTAATTCATCAACACATTAGTCACTTCACTATAGGTGATGGAAGATCTACCGCTCAATAAAGTGAGCACGAAGGTATCATACTCCTCATCGGGTAAGGAGCCTAACAAAATAATCGCCTTGTACTCATCCGTTATCTTCTTATCAACGTTCGCCAAGTCAGACAACAACTTTATTTAGTTGTTCACATGATCCGTAAGTGAGGTACCCCTAGACGTCTAGAATCTAAACAATCTTCGTAGCAAGTGCAAACGGTTCTCAACACTCTTTGTAAGGTACTTATTGTTGAGAATCTCCCACATCTTCATTGTAAACGTCACACCAATCACATCATATTTTAATTATTGTTCCAAATAAGATCTAATTACCCCACAAGCGTTTCGGTTCATCTTGTCCCATACCGCCTCATCATATTTCGCTGGCCTCTCATGAACCATGATGGTCTCTTCCAAATTTTGAGCATTCAAAACATCTTATACGTCACTCATCCACAAATCAAAGTTTATTTTATCATTGTACTTCATAACACTAATCTTTATATTCTGAAGTGCAACCTGAACTCTACTCATCATCGCTTTGCTGCTTTCACCAACTTCTTCTCCCATTGCAAACTAACTCCAATTGTAAAAAAAAAATTCGAACTTGATAGAATTGAGAAATTACCCAACTAAATCCTAGATAGGGTTTCAACACGATCTCCTAACCACACGAGGCAAGCAAGATCTCTAATGGCAACTTCGCAACGCTATCTCCACTGAAGCCTAGATCTCCAAGACCCAAGCTTCAAATAATGAATCTTCCTCCATCCAATGCAAAACCCTAGATCTGAAAATCTGAGCTCTGATACCACTTATCGCGCATCGTGCAAAAGCGTGCTTGCAAACCAAATGAGATGGCGAGTAATGAGAGAAGAACCAAACAAACACGAGTGCAATCCACCAAATCAACAGCCAAAATCACACAAACACGGAGATTTACGTGGTTCAGCAAATTGCCTACGTCCACGGGGAGAGAATGGGGAGATTTCACTATATGGAGGAGAATTACAACGGGTTACAACTCACACAAACTCTCAAATATAACCCTAACCAAAAATCTCAACTCACTCACAATGTCTCCCTCTCAAAGTGCTCAAAACAATGCTAATTATCTGGTCAAGAAACCCTAAAAAACATGTTTCTATTTATAACAAAACACAATCCAAAACAGGGTAGGAATCTGAAAACGCGTCTGCCACACCCGGGTGTGGCACGCACCACACCCCTGACAACAGAGTAGATTCTGCCACACCTGGGTCTGGAAAGCACCACACCCCTGACAACAGGGCATATTTTGCCACATCTGGGTGTAGCACGCATCACACCTGTGACCTGCTAAAATTTCATGTTTTCAACACATTGAACAATTCGACGCCGTTTTCTACTGTGTCCAATTCCATATATTTTGTGTTTTTTTATTGGTACCTCCAGAGTTCCTTGCACATTTAACCTATAAAATTCAGAAAGTAACCAGATCTCATGTTTAATTTAAATAGCAAATGGGCCGTGGAGTCGGCAGTGGTAGGGGACAAAGTTCTCTGGGTTATCTATTCGGGACCGATGAGGCTCCCAAACCTGCTGCCGTAAATTCTACACTTGCTTTTGCTAATAGTATTGCACCTGTTGAGAATCCATATGGCTCATCTCCTGCACCTGACGGTAGCAAGCAGACTCCATCTGGCATTCAAGACAACCCCACAAACAACCACTTCCGAGCAGATTGGCCAGATTACTGGCAATTCATCACGGTATGATTTGCCCACACTTGAGCCATTTGGCAAGAACGACTTTTACATTTTTGCAACTTCATGTCACGTGACGGTCTCCAACTGTTGTCAAATTAGCTTTTCCCCAATTTTTACCCTACATAGTTGTTGGATCCAACCATGCGACTCGTGTTTAAAAACTTGCCTTTTGAGGTTTATAAAAGTAGTTCTTCTATTTACTTTATGTTAGGTGCACCCCAAAACATCGAGCTTCAACTTGAAAAATGAAATAATAGTAACATTTCTTTACCAGTTTCTACTTAGTTTCATGTTTATGATCTATGTTAGAAATTTTTAACTTTTGGTTAGATAATTCAGTTGATTAATTGATTGGTTGATTATTCATTTACTTGATGGCTGAATTGAAGTCAATTTGTTTATTGTTAATGACTGAGTTGATTGATTGTGTTTGTCTTACTGTTAATGGCTGAATAGTTGGAGTGCTTGCTGATAATTTTGATGTTATGTTTGTAAATTTTAATGATTCTAATTATTAGAGTCATTAGAGCAACTCCAACGGGTTGCAGCCTCCCCAAAGAATATACCCTTGTATATTCTCTTTTAGAGGAAAGGCACTCCAACCACTCCCCTCTATACAAAACTTCATTTGTAAATTATATATTATTAAATGATTATTTATATAATACTTTAAATAATTTTGAAAATATAAAAAATATAAAATGATAAAAATTTTATATGAATTAATTTAAAATATAAAATATATTATAAATTAATACTAAAATTATAATATATAATATAATCATATATTTAAATAAAATTAATTATCTTTAATGAATTGATAATAAGAAATAGATAAGAACCTTTAAATTTTAAAAACTAGAAATATAGCATAATATTTAGAACAATCTTTTAAAAACCAGAAAAATCTTCATAACTACTTCGATGGCATATACTCGAAATGGCCAACACTTGTTCAAATTATTTTAAAATTCGATGATAAAAATAAATAATATTTTGCAATGATGCAAGAAGCATGTCGAAAAGATGTGGAGCGGGCATTCAGTGTTCTCCAATCACGATTTGCTATCATCAAGGGGCTAGCCCGTTTTGGGATGAAAGAACTCTGCATGATATCATGATTGCTTGTATTATAATGCATAATATGATTGTCGAAGATGAACGCGATGAGCAAGAAGATGTTGTCATTTCAATGTTAGCCCCTAACGCCAATAGGAAAGAACCCTAGAGGGGGGTGAATAGGGTTTATGCTAATCTAATCCGATTTAATACCAATTAAAAACTTATTAACAAATATCCTAGAAAATTAGATATGCAACAAACATATATATACAAGGATATACAAATAATGGTAAGTAAACAAATACAAACAATATAGTGGATAAAATAAACAAGATGCAATAGGTGATATAAGATGAACACAAAAATAAGTACGCCAAAGCAAACACAAACAAGCAATATGATCACGGAGTTTGGACCTTCCGTCATACGTCTCCGTTCCTCACTCCCGGGGAGAAATCCACTATTACACCGGATTTTCGACGCTCACCCGAAAACGTTTACATCTTACACTCTGTATTCTAGCTCACCGAAAACTTTACAATCAGCACTCTTGCCATCACACTCTACACCCTCTAAGTGTTGGTCTCTAGCCCATGTCTCCCTCAAGTGCTTGAATTTACAACCTCTCCCTTGGCTTTACTACTGACGCCACTCCTCTTGGGACGGGTGAATAGGGTTTATGCTAATCTAATCCGATTTAATACCAATTAAAAACTTATTAACAAATATCCTAGAAAATTAGATATGCAACAAACATATATATACAAGGATATACAAATAATGGTAAGTAAACAAATACAAACAATATAGTGGATAAAATAAACAAGATGCAATAGGTGATATAAGATGAACACAAAAATAAGTACGCCAAAGCAAACACAAACAAGCAATATGATCACGGAGTTTGGACCTTCCGTCATACGTCTCCGTTCCTCACTCCCGGGGAGAAATCCACTATTACACCGGATTTTCGACGCTCACCCGAAAACGTTTACATCTTACACTCTGTATTCTAGCTCACCGAAAACTTTACAATCAGCACTCTTGCCATCACACTCTACACCCTCTAAGTGTTGGTCTCTAGCCCATGTCTCCCTCAAGTGCTTGAATTTACAACCTCTCCCTTGGCTTTACTACTGACGCCACTCCTCTTGGGACGACCTCGTCTCACCACACACTCCTCTTGGTGTACAAGTGTATTACAAAGTGTATCCTCATAATGAAGGTTCAATATAATAATTTGTTCTCTAGTATGGATGAGAACACAATGAAACCTCACTCTCTAAGTCACAAACCCACAACCCCAAATTATACTATGTATGCAAATACAATAAGCACAATAGGTTTTGTGTGAACAAAGGTATAATCAAAACAAACTAAACTCAATATAAATCTAACTTATGGAAATTATAATCAAAACAATAAATAGCTAGAATGAGTTTAGACAAACTTCTCTACGATTGTCACGCCTCACTTCCCAAAATACCCGAGAATCGGAATGTGAACAAGCCCGCGACATATTAGATTAAGGAGATTAAATAAAAATAACCATTTTTCCTCAAACTAATACGCTAAGCGTCTAGAAATAAATACAATGTGAAGTCACAGGACCCCAATCATAGTTAGCGAGAATATAATGAACAAAGAAGAATGAAATATTACATATCACAAATGAAGATCATCCAAGACATAAAAATATGGGTCAAACATGCCCTTATACATATCTGAACAAATGATTACTGAAGAAATACAAAATTATATCGATCAACAGAAAAGAAAGAACTAAAAAAACAACTAGGATCAATGACTAAGCTTCGGCTTCTTCTTCTGTTCTGTCTGCAAGACACTCTTGCTAAAAATCCTCTGGATCCTGGCTTGTCTCCGAGCTGGACCTATTCTTCCTCTAAGTCTGACGTACACCAGAGAAAACAGGTGTACGTCAGCGTGCATGGTACACGGAAAGACCCCACAAAAGAAATAAAATGATCGAAAACCAAAGGGGAAAACGATACGACAACATAAAATGACAAGGAGACGAACAACTGGAAATCCAACAAAATCAACATGCAAATCTACTATTAAAACATGATAAACATGGAGCTAACTGTATATGTGCAACTGGGAATCTAACCAAAGCAGCATGCATTCCACTACTAAAATATAACAATCAGAAGAATCCATAAACATCCGAGTAACAAGATCATAATATATATAAAGCTAGAAATTGAGTTTAGAGATAACATCTCTAAAAAATAGGAGTGAGAGAGATTAAGATGGAAGCCCAAACACAAAATAGATGATATCTTCCTCTTGTGGAAATTTCTTCACATAACCTTTTGTAAAAATACACTTTAAACACACTTAAACCCTTGTAAACTTATTTTAAAACGTTTCTTGGATAGTTCAGAAGTTAGAAGTCAATGGGTATATATAGGATAACAAAACAAACCCAAAACCAAGAAGAAACAAAGAAAAAAGACAAAATTCTGAAAATTCAGGAATTTGGAAAAATAGTCATTGGAAAGCTATTGATCGACTGATGAACATTATCAGTCCACTGATGAGCTGACCGTTATAGGCAACTCAACCTTCATCGGTCGACTGATGACCTACTTCGGTCGACTGATGGTTCATCAGCCGACTGAATAAAAACTTTTCTACTTTCCTGCACTTTTCATCGGTCGACTGATGATTCTCATCAATCAACTGATAACGTGCACATGGATTTTTAAACAGTAAAAATTGATTTCAAACCTCTTTTAAAAATAACAAATAAATTCTAAAAATTATAAATCTTTGGGAAATATTTATAAACATGAAAATAAACATGTTATAAAATAATTTTTCAAATTGCATTTCCCATTTGTGAAAACTCATCATTTTGTAAAATTGATCAAAATATAAAATCTCAATAAACACATGATTTTGACAAAATAATTTCAAACAAGTTTAAAACTTCTTTTGAATGGATTAATAGATTGTATAAAAGATATATTCAATTCTTTTAATCTGTAAACACATATTGTGCAAACTTTCAAAAATATGAAAACGGTAAACATGATTTCATTGATTAAAAATTGTTAAAGCTTAATTTTAATGAAATCATTTTAAGCATGTATATACATAAAAAAAATATGTGTGTATATATAATTATATCTATTTATTTCATATTTATGTGGCTAAGCTTGAAGGCAATGAAAACAATGTATGTGTATAATTTGATCTCTAAGTATAAACACACAAAGTATAAACTTAAATTATAAAACTATTTACCCATGCTATAGGTCTTCAAAATAGCTCATCTTGGTTGTGGATGAAGCTTGATCTTATATTTGACTTTGAATTCATCATTGCTTCATTCTGATATTTTCGCCAACCACCTTTGAATGTCATCGATAAGCTCAATCCAACCAACCTCCTACTAGAATCTTTGTGTAGGATACCTAATAATAAAATGTAAACTCTCAACAAACAATGTTAGAAATTGCTTGTTAATTATCAAAACTAGATTAGATTGTAGGCTCATAAACATGAGACCCAACATTAGGAATATCCATCTCCTGGACACGCAACTGATGATAACTAGATCGAAGATCAATCTTTGAAAAATATTATGCTCCCTGCAACTGGTCAAATAAGTCATCAATCCTCAGCAATGGATACCTATTCTGGATGGTGACCTTATTCAACTCATGATGATCAACACAAAGGTGAAGACTACCATCCTTTTTCTTCACGAAAAGGACCGGTGCTCCCCATGGAGAATGGCTCTGGCGAATAAATCCCTGAGCATTGAGCTCCTCTAACTGAGTATGTAACTCCCTCATCTTGGCAGGTGCCATATGATAGGGTGCATAGGATATCGGTGTAGTGCTCGGCTGTAACTCTATGCAAAACTCTACCTCTCTCACTGGAGGCAATCCAGGTATATCCTGAAAGACATCCTG